TTCCTGATACAGAAATACAGAGAGAAGTAGAAAGGTAGAATTCTAATATATACCTCAACTTCTGTGTGAGCAATAGAAATTTCCTTAAAGCATTACACTATGTTTGTCTTGGCGTGAGGGTTGTGTAAATGCCAGAGGGCTAAGTTTTTTGCTGAGACTGTCAGCGAAAATTTAGATAAGGAATAGGTTTTTAGATTGATGGGATAAAGTAGAAGCAAAGGCAAATAGACATGGGGAAAGAGAAAGGATTTTGGGGTCATAGAACACCCACAGGTGGGAGGAGGAAACTCTGAAAAGCCTGAATTAGTCCTTGCACTTTTCTAGACCAAGAATCTAGCCTGAGGGACAAGTGGAGAAAAGACATAGTATGACTATAAATGGGATTCTCTGATGCATTTATAAATGCAGAAGGGATGCATGTTGATATTTGTCAGTTCACATACACCCTGACTGACCAGTCACTGTCATCAGAGCATCTTTAAGGATGGGAGAGAGAGGATACCATTCTTTTCTAATTTCCCTAACATCTACTTACATTCCTGAAAGAGAAAATGATTAATGTCACTTAATTTATTTAAAATTGGTGTTGTTGAGGGGCGCCTGGGTGGCTCAGTTGGTTAAGCGACTGCCTTCAGCTCAGGTCATGATCCCATGGTCCTGGGATCGAGTCCCGCATCGGGCTCCCTGCTCTGCGGGGAGCCTGCTTCTCCCTCTCCCACTCCCCCTGCTTGTGTTCTCTCTCTCGCTGTGTCTCTCTGTCAAATAAATAAATAAAATCTTTAAAAAAATAAAAAAATAAAAATAAATTTCTAAAAAAATAAAAAAATAAAAAAAATAAAATTGGTGTTGTTGAAGATGATGACTATATTTTGAAAATATTACAGGCTCATTGTTCAGAAGAAAGTTTTTTGATAGCTTCTAGACAAGGGAGACTCCAGTAGCTTGCTCAAATAAAAGATGTGAGTTGAACTGAAAGCAATTCAAAGGCCGGAGGTATTTGATATTTGAAGAGGAAAATTCTGGAGGGAAAGTAGAACCAGAGAGGGTGGACTCTGTCTGGGAGAAGAGAAAGATGTTTCCTATTGCAATGTGGTCTGAGAGGGCTGGGGACATAAAATGTTGAGGATTTTTGTGTGTGTAGAATTTTGTATGCTGTACAATGTGACTTCTTACAAATTTGCAGCAAAGACTTCACTGCCTGCTGGGTTTGGTTTCTTGCAGAAACAAGTGAAGGTACAGAGTTCTGCCTTCTGGTTACTAGTTGCCATACGGTCAAAACAGATGCCACACATGCAACCATAGATTTTAGGAAGCTTTTGGCTAATGCTGGTGTGTGTGTATACCTGTTTTAGTTGTATTTCAACCCTGGGAAGCAAACAATTAGACTGCTTTTCAGAATTATTACAAATCAATTAATTTCTTCTTATAGTAGTGCAAGGTTTTCTCATAAATCAGAATATTCAAAACTTTCAGTGAATGTATAGTTGCAATTATTAATTGCTTTTAAAAATACAAAAATAGGCAATCTTGGTGGAAAGATGTCAGACTTCAGAGAAGAAAGGAGAAAGGAATCGATCAACCACGGAAATGCTCGTGATCAGAAAACTGGAGTAAGAAATAAGAAAAAAGGTTCAGAACACCTTGTAGGAATAAATTTGACCATTTTTCAGTTGAGCCTTGAACAATTAAGAGAAGGATGGGAAGAAATCTGGAGACAGAGTTCAAAAAATGAGGAATCAGAGAGGAATGGGGGATAAAGTATGAATGGATTTTTTTTCCTAGGTTTTAAAGAATGGGTGAGTATGGAAGGGCCAATCATGAGTCCAAGTTGCAACCAGCCTGATAAGAGGGATGGGTATTAAGGAGGGCACGTACTCCATGGAGCACTGGGTGTTATACGAAAACAACGGATTGTGGATCACCACATCAAAAACTAATGATGTATTGTATGGTGACTAACATAACATAATAAAATTAAAAAAAATAAAAATAAAATAAATAAATTAAAATTAAATAAAAAAAAGAGGGATGGGACTCTGTGAAGGAAGGGTCACTGTGATAGACTGAGTAAATGAAATATAACCTGTTAGTGTAAAAGAAAAATTGTCTGAATCATAACTTGTTAGTGTAAAAGAAAAACTGTCTGAATCTTACTTGCAGCAGAAACTTTTTGCCTAATGAAAAGGAAGAACTTGGTGCTCCTGAAAAATGCTTAAGTGGTTTTCGGATAAAATTTCATGGGATTTGGACTTGGGGAAACTCGCCCTTGTTGACTGTCACCCATAAGCCAAGAGCTGAGTCATTTTAAGCTGTTCTTTCCCTTTTGTAGCTAATCTAACAATGGTTAACTAACGATCTCTTTCTATAATGTTCCTAATCAGAGTAAATGGTTGAACTGACCTCCTAGAGGCTTTCCTTCTTGCAATATTGTACTAAAACTTTGACTCATAAACAGTGTACAGTTTTTCTTTAAGATTAGAATCATTTAATAAACATGATTGTTGTATCATCTCAGAAGCTGAGAGGCTAGTGTTACGATAGTTCTGCTAGTAAAAATGAAAACAACTACAAAATGAATGAATCCAAGAATCATCACCATCGATGTACTATCTGCCCCTGAAATACTTCTTTTTTTTTTTTTTAAAGATTTTATTTTTAAGTAATCTCTTCACCTAAAGTGGGGCTCAAACTCACAACCCTGAGATCGGGAGTAGCACGCTCTACCAACTGAGCCAGTCAGGTGCCCCTGCCCCTGAAATATTTCTGTGGCACCACAGTAGACACTGTGTATTTAGTGGACACTGTGTTGTGTTGCTCAGTTTCTTTGTCAGAATGGGAAGACCTGTGCTCCCAGCTTCTGGGAGTTCACCAGCTGCTTTCAGAAACTGTCTTCAGATACAGAGAGCTCCCTTGTCTAAGGTCATCCTCCTCACCATCCTGAGGGCAGTCCACAAAGCAATAAATGACTCGTTGCTACTGTGCTCTAAAGATCTAAACCTTCACCCTATTTGGGGGCAAATTCTGAAGGGCCATCGGAGTTCTAGATATCCTCAGGGGCTGAGTCTTGTTGAAACTGCATCCCAGCCCAAACTCTCCCTCTGTCTATGTGTTTGCCTCACTCTCCCACCCCTGGTGCTGATTCTGAGAGCTTGCCCTAATACTAAACTCCTGCACTGATCCCTCCCTGAGTCTGTTTCCCAGGACCTCTCCTGTAACAGGTAGAAACAGCAGAACCTGGTAGGAAAGAGGTGCTGTGGGTAGATTTTATTTTGGACCGGGACACTGTGTTGCTTCTCCAAGAACCAGTCTGTTTTTTTGTTGTTGTGTTGTTGTTGTTTTTTAATCTATAAAACATTCCTTTAGTGAACAGAGCCCTGCCGTAGCTGGGGAGTGAAGGTAGAGGGAATGGTTCTTATGTAAAGGAATGCTCAGAGAGATCCCTGTACATTCTGTCCTCAGAAATCTGGTTTCCGGGGCTAAGTGGGAAATGAAATGTTGGAAAAGCCAGTAAGTGAGTCAGAGACAGAGAGAGAATAAATCTCAAATACTGGCATCAGAAGTAGGGTCAGATCATGAGAATGAACTAAGCTTTAACATGGCATTGTGAATTTGTAAGCCAGAGTATTCAAAACTCAAGTGTGTATAAGTTATAATGCCAAGACTATTAAACGAGAAATGACAAAACTATTTAATCTATTCCTTGCCTCTTGGAGATAATCAGAGCCATCTGTTCCACCACTTTTAAAGCTGTTTCAAAATGATTACATTCCCGTCTTACCTAAAATTGTACTTTATAAAAAAGAGATTTAAATGTAACAACACTCTCTGTTGTTGGGTCACTCTGTTCACTCAACAGCATTTTATTTAATAAGCATTTTGCCTGCCATGTCTATATGTGTAAGCTAAGTGCTAGGTTAATACTATAAGCTGGCTTTTTGGGAGAAGGGAAAACTAACGAGAAAATAAGTACCATTGTTTAAATTGCAAAGAAAGCCAGAATAAGAGGGAGTAATTATAATTTAAGATATTTGTAGTCAGGTTCAGGGCTGCTATCCAAGATGCCTCACTATTTACAACGTGACAACTGAACAACAACTTTCAGGCTTACAGCAGCCTCAAGTCTCAGTATATACCATTATTGCCATCTCAGCCACAATCAGGATAGTCACCTTAAGGAAACAAGAAAGTGGCACATTTTATATTTTAATTAGGCAGAAGTAGCATATCAACAAGCTAACCCCTCAGCTGGGCTGAATTTGTCTAATTAACTCGCTTCTACTTAAACCCTATGTCAGTGGAGCAGAAGGTGTTCAAATGTGAAAAAGGGAGAAGGTCCAGGCATTTCTACTGTCATATATTTACTCCTCACAACTTAATCCTCATAAACCTATAGGGGAAGGTAGTCTCGTATCATTTTACAGATGGGAAAACTGAGATCAGCCTCAGAGTTAGCCAAGGGCTGCAGTAGGCCAAGGTACAAAGCAGAGGCCCATCTGTCGCCATGTTGGTTATGGGCAGCTCAAGGTAAAACAGGATCCATAAAAATGGAGGTAAGAATGACTAAACAGATATGGTAAAGGGTTAGCGAAAGAAAGCTCTAAAAAAGGCAAAATGATATAGTGACAGGAGGGGCAACTTCACAGTGGAATGGAGGAGCAATCATGGGTGCTCTGAAACTCTCTGAGTCTTGTCTTTCTGTTATGGAAAAGGAAAGAATACCTACATCTGAGATTTTTTTTTTTTAAGATTTTATTGACTTATTTGACACACACACGCACACACAGAGAAAGAGAGCACAAGCAGGGGGAGTGGCAGTCAGAGGCAGAGGGAGATGCAGACTCCCCACACAGCAGGGGGACCCCGATGCGGGACTCGATCCTAGGACCCCAGGGCCATGACCCAAGCCAAAGGCAGTCACCCAACCAACTGAGCCACCCAGGCGCCCCCGAAATAGTATTGAAGATTAGATGAGACAATGCATGTGAAACATGAAGCAGTACCTGGCACTTGGCAGGTCCTCTCAATCCTCTCAATTCCTTCCTTCTTTCCTTTTCTTTCCTTCCTCTGTTTCACAATTTTGCCCAGAGGGGGTCTTAAATCTACAGAAGGGGATAGGAAATCAAAGTCAAGACAGAGCTTGTGAAGAAGGGGGAAAAGATAACCACAGTCATTATTTAGTTATAGGTACGACTTATTTAATTTTTTTAAATTTTATTTTATTATGTTATGTTAGTCCCCATACAATTAAACCCAATCTATATTTTATGTCAAAAGTTGATAGGACCTTTCAAGCTTGAGTAATCAAGTCTGATTTTAGGAACTTCCCAATATTGGGGGAAAAAATGTGTGGAGTCCACTTGGACATTTTCACGGGGGGACTTTCAAATATTTCCCAACAACTAAAGCCAGAATGTAATCTACTCTTTCTCCAGCACTTATTTGCCTCCTAGGAATTCACAAAATTAAAGCCATATGAGTGCTTGTGCTTGTAATCTCTCCATTGTCACTCCACAATCTCACGTGGACTGGCCTCTTTTTGTTCTCCTTTCTGATGTCAATCCTTTTTGTTCTCTTAGTCCCAGCTCTTTGAAGTAAGGGTCATCTAATTCATTTTTATAGCTCCAGCAGGCCAAGTATAGTGCCATGGACAACATTTGCACTTAACAAAATGTTACTAAGTCGGTGGATTTGGAGGTCTCAATCCAATGTACTAGTATTATCAAAGAGCAGGAGAATTAGGACATACATGTTGAAAAGTAGAGGGATATATCAGAATTGAAGTTCTGTTGACTTCCAAACAGGCTCTTTAAAATGAAAAGGCCACAAAGTAAATTGGACCAGAATTTGAGATTAGATTAGAAAGAGAACAGAGAAAGAGACTGGCAGCTCTGACCACCTGCCAGATGAGAGTCACCTGGGCAGGTGGAGGAAGCTTTGAAGTATGACCCATCATCTGAATTGTCATGACTCTTACTTTAGAGACTCAAATGTATCACCCTCTCCCTTTACTCTCTCTGATTTCACTTCTGTTTTTGCTTGTATTTCTCTCTCTCTCCATGTGTTTCATAATCAATATTTTCTGGAGAAAGATGACTAGGCCAGATATTACCTATATTGAACATACTTCCACATCTGCACACCTCAAAGTCTAAGGGCCATGCCATGACTCTTTTAGATCTGTTAACCCTGGTCTAATTAGTACAGCCAAGGTACACAAGACACTAACATTGGTAACTGATGTTGAAGGAACAATCTGTGGCTTGTTTCTGAAGGGGACTGCTGAGTATCCAGAATTTTACAGTTGCTTCTCCTGTATACCTTATGAACCCCTGTGTTGGAATTAAGCTGGAATTGCCAGATTTATTAATAAAAATGTAGAATCCCCAGTTAAATTTGAATTTCATATAAACAACAAACACTAAATGCAGTATTTGGGATATACTTATATGTGCTAAGATGGCTGTGTGGGTTCCAGGCATAGCATCCACATTCAAAGCAGTGGAAAAGGGAAGGAGGGAAGCAAAAGGGTCTGTTCATTCCTGTTAAGGGCACTTTTCTGAACTAATACCTTAAACTTAACTTACTGGTGAGAATTTGGTCACATCTAACTACAAGGAAGGCTGAGAAAGAAGTCTTTGTAGTGGACAGTCACATACATGTTCATTTTTAAAAATCAAGGACTGTTACTGAGAAGCAAGGGGGAAGTAGATATAGAAGAGCGACTAGTCATCTCTGTCAGAAAAGTGATGGGAATAAAGGCATGTTTCAGAAGTAAAATATACTGAACTAGATGGAATATAATGATGCTGATATTGGGTTACGAGACCAAAATAATAAAAAAAGTCTTCCAATTTTATTTCAACCGGGTCAGTTTACAGAATGGAGGTCCCTTTTAAAATAAATGGAAAATATAAGAGAAACATACATTCAAAATTTGTTAAGTGCACACCATAAAGTGTTCGAAGTAAAATACTATACAGAGACTGTAGGAATATGACACAGTTGCTAACCAAATCTAGTAGGTGACAGTGTGGTCTTCCTTCTTCCACTTTCCTAAGACAGTGTGATTAACTGCAGGTGCTTGCTATTATTGTTACGACGTAAAATGTTTAGCATGATGCCTGGTACATAGTAAATGTTCAACAGATTAACTAATGCTTAATATTTTTACCTATATTTTCAAACAGAAGAGTCATCCAGGAGATCAAATCGAAAATAAAAGAAAAAGTTGAGGATGCTTGTGAAAATTAGTGAGAGGGGCTTTCTGCAGTGGTTACAGAAATGCACAGCATGGATATCGTCCAGTAAGTTGGCTCTACCGGCCAGGCAGTGATGGAAACCAATTTGTTTTACCTTGGAGGAGACAGAGTAGCTGTTGGTTCACTGTATCCTTTTGGATTTCATGGAAATTTGAATTTACAACAGGAGGAAGGAGAGGCAGTAGAAAGACCTTGGAATAAAAGTCAAAGATGAAGATACTCATAAGCATTGGTGTTCTAATGCTAGCCCAGCCATTTATAGCTTGGACAGCAATGCAGTAGCTTAATTCAGTTATGGAGCATTAAGAGCCAGGCGCATGCAAAGTACTTACAATTATGTCATCTCAACCCCAGGGGCAGGGATTCAGGGGGTGGGGATTCAGGGGATGGGGACTCAGGGGAGGGGGCTAGAGAGTGGGTGCAGACAAGGCTGGCTGAGAGATGGTTCCCATGTTCTAGAGCAAGAAAGACAGACTTAGAAATAACTCAGATACGGTAGAAAAATGTGATGGGGTGAAAAGCTGAGACAGTGTTAAAAGTATGGAGGATGGAGATCTTAATTACAAAAGAAGAGTTATGGATAATTTCTAGGAGGAAGTGGGATTTGAATTAGACCTTGAGGGGTAGGTAGAATTTTAGTATTTAGGGGAGAGAGGAAAACTTTTCAGGCAGAGCAAATATCATAAGCAAAGGTGTGAAAGGGCAGACTGTGAGGGACTCCGTGGCTCAAGAGTTAGTGTATATGGAACTGTACTAGCTGTGGGAGTTATACAATGGAGACAAATTGTGGAGGGCTTCTCATTGCAGGTGGAAGATTTATGACTTAGTCACAAAGGCATTATCATTAAGAGTTTTGAATAGGGTAAAAGCAGAATAGGTCTGTGTTGTAGAGAGGTGCCAATGGGGAGGATGGGCCGGAAAGGTCAAAGGTCTGAGATCAGTCCACAAGCTGTTGTAACAGTCCAGAGAACAGTGCAAACAAAATCTTACATAAAGTAGAAAACACAGTGGCAAGAATGGTTGTTAGTTACTTATCAACTGAGCAACGAGGGTAAATTACTTAGCCAGAGTATCATTATATGTTCTCTAAAATACTGCTAAAAATTACATCTCAAGTTTGGTGTGGAGAGTAACAAACATGTGTTAAGTCCCTGGTGAACGGGCCTTACTCCAGCAAAGATATTTTAAACGTTTCTCCCTTACCCTTTGTAAGAACAACCTGTGGGGCTTCTACCACTTCTATTTCGGCCCTTAGCGTTGTTCTGCAATAGACTGGTCTTTCTTCTCTATTCCTGGACTGTATGCCTCCCGGCCCTGGTCTCCATTCCTAACCTCTCGGACAAGACTTCGCACACAGTAGGCTCTCAAAAAAAGCGTGCGCGCAAACAGGATGTGCAGGGCGAAAGAGGTGGCCGGGACCAGGCTGGAGGCAGCGTGCATTACAGGTACCTGCCGCTCGCAGGGTTCTCTGTTCTCTGGGTCGTACCTAAGAGATCAGCGGTGCCACTGAGCAGCGGGCACAGTCCCAACGCTGTTCTAGGAGCAGGCAGGGTCCCTCCTCCTGAGGGGCGCGGGCTAGGGGATGAGAAACCCAAGCGGCTCACTTCCAAAACTGAACAGAAATTCCCTCCTCCAGGCCTTCAGAGGTTCGTCGTCAGGAAATCCTAACCCCTTCCCCCTCTTCTCCGGCCCTCCTTCCGGCCCCTAGGCACCCAGGCGCCGTTTTTGCAGAAGCCGCCTGGCCGGAGGCGGTCGCGGAGCGGGGCGGTGCGCGTGGGTGGGGGCTGGGCCGGGGGAGGGGAGTGCAAGAACTTTGAGACTCAGCCTCGGGGGCCCGCGGTGGCATTCCTGGCAGCGCCGCGAGCAGGCCCGCCTCTGGCGCCCGGACCGGGAAAGAGTCGCCGAGACGCCGCGGGAAGCAGTAGTGTCGCCGCCCCGGGAGAGACCCCTGGCTGTCCGCTGCGGCCGCGCGGGAACCAGACGGCGGAAGACGTGTCCGCGGGCATGGGCCTCTTCTCGCTGGAGCCGTTGCTGCCGCAGCTACTCAGCTTCCCGGGCCTGGCCCTCGCCGCGGCCCTGCTGCTCGCGGTCCTGTGCCTGCGCGCCGGGCGCACCAGGTAAGCGCCCCGGCGGCCTTACCGCGCGGCCCGGCTGCCCGGGCCACGCATGCGCCCTGGGCCCCGCGGACTGTGCCCGACCCGGCAGGCCGAGGGAGTACCCCGCCCCCAACCCCAGGGATTTCAAGTGCGCGTAGTCAGAACTTGCTGCGGGGCAGCGGAGTGTTGGGGGATTGTGTGTAATGACAAAGGCTTCTTCTGCGTCTTCCCCGTACGTACGCATACATATTAAAGCGTTGGGACCGAACTCGATTTGCTGCTCCCGTGTAGGTTGTATGTAATAAGCCCTAGGTTTGCATTATTCATTATGCATCACGTATGGCTTCCAAACACACACATTTTGGTGCCGAGTTCCAATGAGTTGATGCTTCATGGCGTAGAATTCGTAGAACATTTCGAGGGGAATCTTCTTACATTTCCTTCAGTTAAAAGTGAAATGTTTCAGGAGAATGGCAGTGTATGGTACGAACAATAATTCTGGGTACTTCTCTGTGCCTCAGTTTACATCACTGTACCTCATGTGGAAAAACGCAGTAATAATACATCATGGGAGTTTGGTGACTACTAAGTGAGTTTATGGTGTGCATTTTGTGCATTTACTGTATTATTTTCATTAGAGCAAAACCAATAACAACACAACGCTAGAAGTGTGTCACTTTATCAGATTTGAAATGTGGAAGTAGAAACATATTTTAAATAGAAGCATTCACTCGAAATCACTGTATTTTCTGTTTGCGATTAGATGTTTGCATAGGTATATATACACACAGATATGTTTATATGTATATGTTTGTGTGATACAGGTTGTTTCTCAAAGGTTTGGGGAAAATGGCACCATTGTACCGCATTCAGATACCTGGGGACATTTCTAGAATGTGCATGGATGAATACTCTAGAAGGGAGTATTGCTTTTTTTCCCCCATGCAAATTTTCAGTGATTTTCCTGGGATGTGCCATGCCCTCCCCTCAGGTTGCCTTTTCCAATGGCTGTGCTCTTGCTTTAGAACCCAACATGAGAATTTAGGATACTTTAATTCAGTGTTACTTGATTCTATGTAGGTTCCATCTTCCACAGTGTCTATCCCTCAGCCAAGGCCACATTTAAAATAAAACTGATAAATTCAAGGTAAGATTTGGGTGGTGCTAGGAACTCAGTTCATTTCCAGCAAGTCATTAATCATATACATATGTTTTTAAAAATCACCATTTTTTACTAATAATTGACTTAAATAAATATATATATTTTTAAAGATTTTATTTATTTCTTTGACAGAGAGAGACACAGCGAGAGAGGGAACACAAGCAGGGGGAGTGGGAGAAGAAGAAGCAGGCTTCCCACTGAGCAAAGAGCCTGATTCGGGGCTCGATCCCAGGACTCTGGGATCATGACCTGAGCCAAAGGCAGACACTCAACGACTGAGCCACCGAGGCGCCCCATAATTGACTTAAATATAGATACTTTCTAAATTATTATAAAGACAACATATAAAAGCAGAGTCTGGTTAGCAAGGCCAACTTGAAAACAAACATGTCTCTATTATTCTTTCCCTACCTCCCGTTCCCTGCAAAAATGACAAAAGTTAGTCCTACCAGAACAATATAAAATAAATATAAAATGGTTAAATTCTTCTAAATAAATGAAATACAGAGTGGCACTAACTTATATATGTGTTAAAGGGGATACTTACAGTTAAAGGGCTTGTTATGAATAGAGGAAGGTGTTCACAGAAAATATGATAGGGAGGGGGCAGTAACATAGATTTTTAAATCCTGCAGTTCTGGAAACAGAAGTCAGAAATGGACCTTACTGGCCCCAATCAAAGTGTTTGCATTTGGTGGAACTAGGGGAGAATCCATTTCCTTATTTATTCCAGTTTCTAAAGGCCACCAGAATTCTTTTTTTTTTTTTTCATATTCTGATGCTTCTGCCTCTGATTTATAAGAACCCTTGTGATTATGTTGAACCCACCCAGATAATCCAGGATAATCTTCCCATCTCAAGGTCCTTAATTTAGTCACATCTGCAAAGCCCTTTTTGTGATGTAAGGTAACATATTCATAGGTTTGGGGGATTAAGACATGGACATTGTTGGGAAACAGCATTCTTCCTACCACAATGCTCCCTCTAACCTCCAAAGATTTATGTCCATCTTACATGCAAAATATACCACCCTGTCCCAGCGTTCACAAAAATCTCAACCTATCACAGTATCAACACAAGGTCGAAGATCTCACATAAATCTCAGTCAGCTCCAAAGTCCCAAATCTCACCATTTAAATCATGTAAATTAGTGCGGGGATCTCAATATGATCCATCCTGGGACAAAAATTCCCAAGAACATTGTGGGTCTTTCATGTACGTCACAGGGATTGACTCTATCAATAAGAGGCTCCTCCACAGATTTTTCTTGGATCATTCCATTTACAGTCCTGGCTTCTTTTGACATGGCTGAGAGGAAACTGTCACATGCCTCATCTTTTCGCTGGTTGACCAATACTGTACATGTGAATGAGTGTGTATGATTAAATTGTCAAAAGTTCAAAATAGCCAACGTGAAACCAATGAATCACTGAAGTAGTAATTAGTAAGAAATTATTGAGCACACACCAAAAAGACAGTTTGCAAACTGGAAGTACTCAAACCAGAACATGAAATGAGACTCAGGGGTATATTTTTATAAAGCAGCTTATATAGTGAGAGAGTAGTGACTGTTTATTCTTCATAGTGATGGATTTCGTTATTACAGTTTTCAGTGGTTACCTCATATAAACCTTGGGAAATAGTTCAAGTTTTGCTTATCATTTCCAGAGGCACACGCAAGAAATAATCCAGATCAAGTTATTCTCACAAAATAAGCTAAATTAAGCTTTGCCTGAATGACTACAGTGGTTCTGTCTGCCGAGGGAAGCTTCAAGGCTGGTCTCCATCTATCCTTGATTTTAACAGAATGTGCCAACCTTTTGATTTTTCCCAGGCACTAGCAAAATGTGTCCAGCCACATCCTTGGCTTTCTCTCCAGAGCACTCTTTTTTGACAGTGACTCTCCTAGTTTGCTGTCTGGATAGGCTGAGAATTTCCCAAAGCATCATTTCCTGGTCCCTCTGTGCCCAAGAATTCTTTCCTTCTTCTACGTCTTCCCTCTCACATTTTACTATAAGCAGCCAGACAAACTAGGCTACCCCGTCAACACATTGCTTAGAAATCTCCTTAGCTAAATATCCAAGTTCATCTGGTACAAATTCTGCTTTCCATGTAACTGCAGTGCACAATGTAGCTGAGCTTTCTGCAACTGTAAGACAAGAATCCCTTTTGTCCAGTTTACAGTGGCATGTTCCTCATTTAATCTGAGCCCTCACCAGCAGTGCCTTTGATGTTAATATTTTTACTTATGGTCTATTTAGGATGGTGTAAATATTCTTTAAGATATATATATATTCTCTCCCATAGTCCTCACTTTCTTCTGAGTCCTCACTAAGGGAGTTGTTAACATCTGTATTTCTACTCATCATCTGTTCAAGGCAGTCTGGATTTTTTTCTATCATCTTCCTCAAAATTCTTCTAGCCTCTGCCCATTGCCCAATCAAAGTCATGTGTCTATTTTTAGGTATTTGTCACAGCAGCATGCCACTTCCAGGTACCAAAATTGCACTAGTTTCCTATGGCTGCTATACCAAAATTTTACAAATTCAGTGATGTTAAACAACACAGACCTATTCTCTTACAGTTCTGGAGGTCAGAGTCTTACTGGACTAAGAGTAAGATTTTGGCCAAGCTGAGACCCTTCCGAAGGTGCTGGTGGAGAATAGTAGGTTCTGAGAACACAACTGAACTTGCACTGTGTAAGTCTTCAACTAGAGAAATACCTCAAAGATTGAACCCAGGGGTACCTGGGTGGCTCAGTTGGTTAGGCGACTGCCTTCGGCTCAGGTCATGATCTGGAGTCCCAGGATCGAGTCCCACATCAGGCTCCCTGCTCAGCGGGGAGTCTGCTTCTCCTTCTGACCCTCCCCCCCTCATGCTCTCTCTCTCTCCCTCTCTCATTCTGTCTCTCAAATAAATAATTAAAATCTATTAAAAAAAAAAAAAAGATTGAGCCCAGAAGAAGAGGTTGCCTCACCATAAGACATTTTCCAGACTACCTCAGAGAGAATCCCCTTCCTCAGCAGGAGATTCAAAGGATCCTTGGATTCTGTGACCCCTGACTGTGCCTAACTTGTCTGAGTCATTTTCCTTAACTGGAAAATGGAAACAACAGCTACTACACTAGGTAGATGTGAGAAGCAAAGTGCATGAGAAATGTAAATACATTTTGTAATGAAGTGTTATCACTTCAAAGACAATTGGCTTGCACCATTAAGTTTCTTTGTCACTTCCCAGAAACCCTTTTTTCCTAGTTGCTGATTAGGAGAAAAAATGGGACGATTTTCTTTCCCTCTCCCCCAACACACATATTCCCATGCCCCCCAAAATGCTGTAATTGGTCAGAAATAAGATTTAAATGCTGATGAGTCAAAGTAAAAATTCAGTGATTTCTTTTCAAGTTGTAAGATGTCAAGGTTATGTAGATAATGAGTTATTTTGAAATGTTGATTTGTTGACATCACTGTATCACATAAGTCAATTATTTCCTCTTTCTAATTGATTAATTACTCCCAAGCTAGACCTATGGTGCTCTAGATCCCTCACACTGTTAACACTGCCTAGACAATGAGAAGAGCTAGGTTGCAATCATTAACGGATTTTTTCTTGTTTCTTCCTCTTTTCTCACGACAAAATATAGGAAAAAGATGTGGGTAGCTGAAAGCAAAGTAATTTTCTACTCAAGATTGTGCTGAGTTTAGCAGGTGGATTTTTATGTTTTTACATAGAAGGTGCTAGAGAGATCTCCAGGCACATTTGTGGCAACAAGTAATCAGTTATGCGTGGTGCTACAGTTTCCCTTATTAAACTGCAGTGTTTGGATCGGTCTTGTTACCATTTGAGACAGATTTCAGGCTTG